AGGAATGCAAACAATTTATTGGTTAAGCGGACTACTCACAATAAAAAAGCCTTCGTTACAAAGACTCGCCTTCGTTTTTGCGGGTTTTGGACCCTATTCCACTCCAATACATGTCCCTTGTACCGACCCTTTTAGTGGTAGCTCAAATGCACGCGCATGTTGTCCGCCCACACCGCCTCAGGTATACAGTACAGATGACCTGAGTTGAATGGCTGGAGAACTCGGCCTTTTTGCCCGAGGTGCTAAACAGGGCGTCCGGAAAATAGAACATGGTCATGATCCGTTGGCCTCTTGAATAACAAAGCAAAGCAACATGCTACCCCCCTCAAAAAAACACACACACACACAGACACAAGCCAGCGTAGCAAGTGCGAATTAGAGGGTTGGTACATGCATGTCATTCCCAGCCAATGGACAAAGCCAACGTCAAACATATAGAACGAGGCTTCGCCCCACGGACTGAACCGGGACTCGTCAAGAGGAGCAGCTTCGGCTCACTGAAGTCTGAGCCAGCCACTTCCACCGGCAGCTTCCACCAGCAGAATTGCCTTGCGGCGAACCCCTCCGGCAGTCCTGTTTCAGAAGGTCATCTTCTAAAGCTTGCTGCCACATTCGTTTCACCTCCCTGTTCTTTCATGAGACGGAGAAGCCCTGGAAAAAGACAGGGGACATAGTATGCTTGGTATGTTTGACTGTCCATATGTAGTGAACATTATTGAAAAGAAACGAGATCCCAGGGTCAAAATCTTAGTTATCACTCTGGGCCTTCTTCTCCTTGCAAACATGACCCAAAAGGAACGCCCTTCAAATAAAAAATGGTAGGTGATAACTCAACATGTTTACGCCACCCCAAAAGAGGAAGTAGCCTCTTACCCCTGGAAATTTGTGCAAAAGCTAAAATCGCCAATACACAATTTAAAACAGGCACAGTTCTAAACCAATACAGAGCTGGCGATTTCTCCTCGTGACCCCAACTAGCGGCTTAGGGGGCTTTCTGCTACCTGTCTGACTCAAGAGGACTGAGGAAAGAACCTTGGCCTCCCAAACAAATCCCCAGGATGTATCTTGTCTTGCTCTTGTTTGTTGGGGAGAGGCAAGGGATAGTGAGCCCAAGGTTTCCGGCCAGCGCTGGGGAAATCGAAGCGAACGGTAAGACTGCGGGCCGGCTGATGGGCCGATGAACTTGGAAACGCGATTCGCGAAGCATCCAATTCGCCCGTGCAGCCGGGAGAACTACAAGCCTGCAAAGAGAAAGTCGCTAGTGGTTTGATCATCGCTTAGGGACGATCTGAAGCGGGGTAGTTGAAACTCGACAGGACTTGCGCAACTTGTTTAGGCTATCGCTATTTGCGAGTTGTATCCAAGTTACATCCATTTCACCATTCGCCGCCGTTGTCAAGTTGTGACATGTACTTGCCTCTGGTGAATTGTGGTTCTACTACCTGGTGTTCTTCGGCTATAGCAATGCCGCGTATATAAACATATACACATACATTATCCGCCGACATTGTGGAGGCGTGTCGGATACTTAAGAGAGGATAGAGGATAACCCCCCCTTACAGTTAGGGTAGGCCTTGCCCATCTTTTTTTGGTACCCGAGCGTGACCCCCACCCTACGCAAGAACAGCATTTTTCAACCATTTTTTCACTATTCAAATCGTCATCCTTATTCATTTTGCATATTTCCACTCAAAACATTTCATAACAGTCTCAACCTCAAAATCCATCAAAAAAGTTACATTTTTCTCATTTTCTATTCCATCATTCTTGTCATTGTTAGGATGCTTGAGTGGAAATAGGAGTATAGGGTGGTTCATATGATATGGTTATTGATGGTAGGATGCATGGGCAAGGTTAAGCTCATTCATAAAACAAAGAATCAAAAAATAATATTTCTCAAAAAAAAAATCTTCCAAAAAAAAATAATTCAAAAACTAAATTTTCAAAAAAAAAAATCAAAAAAAATATGTTCAAAAAAAAAGTAATTTTCCAAAAAATAAATTTTCAAAAAATAAATTTTCAAAAATATTATTCCAAAACATATGATAAATTATCTTACAATATTTTATCATATTTTTTTGTAGAAATATTATGGGCAAGGTTAGGTTCATTCATTAAAAAAGAAACACAAAAACAAATTTTATAGAGTATAACTATGGTATAATGAAAGGTTATAAAGTTTTACAATGTTAATTTATATTATAATAACATAATATAAATAAACTGTCGCCCCAAAAAAGGGGGAACCCCACCTAATTTCAAGAAAAACATGCTGTTTTGTCGTTGGATTATTATCTATGAATAAACCCCCGTATCTTCATCATAGTCAATTTGATAAAATGTCATAGTTGAAGCCTTCGGTTCTTTAATTTCTTTGTTATTAAGTTTGTTTAAATAAATATTTCTTTTACTTTTATATTCACCATTGGTTCTATCTACTTCTTTACTTTGATAACTGTTTGTTAAAGGTTTCTTCTTTTCCATTTCTTGCAAGATTTCTAAAATATTCTTATTCTGTTCTAAAACCTTGTTCAGTTTTTTAACAATCTTTTCTAATCCTTCATCCATGTAAATATATATATTATATTGTAAAATAAAACTTTTAAAACTAAACTTTTATTTTACAAAATCATATATCATTATAAGTCAATTCAAAATTAGTTATTGTGTAACTCGTTAAATTATTATTCAATTTACCAATTAAATTACAAATAATAGTTTTTCTAAATTTTGAATATTTATGAAACTTTTCAATATTATATGTAATATAAATTATTAAACATTTAATACATTCAAACACATTAACAACATTAATGTTACTATTTTTGTAAATACTATTCATTTTTCTCAATGTAATTTCATAAAACTGAATAGCATTTTTATTATCATAATTAGCAATAAATCTTAAAGTATATGAATATATTCTTTTACAGTAAAATTTTAAATCTGATTGTTCAAATAAATCAGCATAATTAATAGAATTATAAAACATGTTAAAATCAATTTTACTATTTCTAAAGTCATTAACAAAATTAATTAATATATCATTTTCGTTATATTCTTCAATAAAATTATTTAATTTCAATTCTTTTACATCAATGAATTTAAGAATATTATTTATAACATCTTGCATTATAAATAATAATAGAAATAATTTTAATTATTATTTTTTCATCATTTCGCGTATCGTTTCCTGTGTTTCCTTATCGCCATTATCGGATGGAGTAACTCCCCTCCCAAAGCGTATAGCAATATTATGAACATCTGTTTCTAAGTTGATACTGTCTTTAGTTTTATCAATATTCATTTTCTTATCATTCTTACTTAGTTTGAAACTTGTCGGAATACACGAGCATTTACAATTTCCTTTCTTTTGTATTTCTAATTCATTCTTCATTTCTAACATCTTTTTACACATCGGACAAGCAAACTCAATAACTGATGTTTCTTTAACAACTTCTTCTTTTTCTTCATCAGTTGAAGAAACAACTGGTTCAGTCTTATTCTTTTTCTTTCTTCCCATTTATATTAATATTTACATTTTTATTTTTGATATATTGTGTCACAAACTTAATTAATTCTAAAACAAATAACATATTTTTTTAAATCTATTATCAGTTATAACAACTTGTTCTATATTCTCTACTTCATCTATTATATCAATATAATCTGAATAGCTTCTATTCATATAAAATAATAAATATAAAATATTTTCTAAATAACTTTAATATTATTTTATTATGTCAGATGTTCCAATAATAAAACCAATAAACATAACTGAATATGAATTCAAACAATCTAAATATGAGCACGTGCCAAAATTACCATTTAGAAGTATTATAGTTGCGAGTTCGACAGGCGGTAAGACTGTCCTTATTCAAAATTTAATATTGAATGTTTATAGAAATTCATTTGCAAGAATATATATATTTTCACCCAGTGTTCATAACGATCCAACCTTTACAGAAGTTAAAAAGTATATTAGGGATGAACTACATGTAGATGATGAAAAAGAACAAATTTATTTTGACAATTACAATCCAATTGATATAGAAAATGCAATTGAAAGACAGAAGAAAATTATTAACTATATGAAGTCTAAAAAGATAAAGAAACTACATTCAATATTAATCGTGATTGATGATTTCAGCGACGACCCCAAGTTTTTAAGATATTCTAAAATATTACACGGTTTATTTACAAGAGGTAGGCACGATGCAATCAATGTTATTTGTTCTTTACAAAAATATAAATCAATCGCAAATATAATTCGTGTTAATGCTTCTTCACTATACATTTTCAGACTCAAAAACATTACAGAACTAATGAGTTTTATTGAAGAAAATAGCGCCATTGTTGATAAACAGCAATTATTAGATATGTATCATCAAGCCGTTAATGACACACCTTATAGTTTCTTCTACGTGAATATGAATGCTAAAGACATTAACAAAATGTTTCATATCAGATTTGAACAGGCATTTCAAATTACAAATGATGAATAAAGATATTCTAATTTAATATATATGCTAATGAAACTATGTAGATGTGGTGGATTTTATCGTAGAGGTAATTACAATTTTCATACTAATTCTTGGATACATAAACTTTATAAAGTGTTAAAAAGACGACCAACAGACGAGGAAATATTAAGATTTCAAAAGAGTTTTGTTGATGAAGAAGATTTAATAGATGATATGTGTAGCAACGCCTCAACAAAATTACCCGAAAGTGAAATGACAGATTATGATAGTAATTAATAATATTAATGTATGTTAATATTATCAATTTAGAATAAAGAATAGCTACATAAATTTAAGGCAGGAAATTTATAATATGTTTTATCTTTTTTACATTCATTAACTTTTTCTAATTTATTTATTATTGCTTTCAATGAATTTATTTGTAGAATATCAATTCTTGACATTTCACTTATCGTATTTACATCTATATCTTTTATTACTTTAATAGCCTCTTCATCATCAATTTCTACTGGTTTTGATTTACTTGAACCCATTATATATAATATTATTTAGATTTTAATTTTTCAAAATTATATTTTTGTTTTTCTTCTCCGTCTTCTTCTTCTTCGTCTTCAGTTGGTGCTGGTATTTCTGTTGGACTTTCAGATGAAGAACTATGAACAGTAATAGGTGGCGAACTATGAACACTAATAGCTTCATTTGATGAATTGCTACTGCTACCTTGTGCATTTCCTGCTGTTATTTGATTAACTAAATCTGCGATATTTATTGTTGTTGCAATTGCGCTATGTGATAAGTTTAATATTATATCTGCTACTGTAGCGCCGTTGTGTAGCATTATTTCTATCATTTTTGTCAGTTTGAACTTCTTTTCTTCTTCATCGCTGTCCTCCTCGTCTGGTGGTTTCTTTGGCGGTGGTTCTGGTGGTTTGTTGTTGTCAAGCATTGTAGTAAAGGCTGACACCATTGTGTCGCGTTGGTTTTTCAGTGTTTGTGTTGCTTGCGTTCTTGTTGGTTCATGTCTTTTGTATGCGTTGTGCCAAAAGTTTTTAAGCATTATTTTA